CCTGTGCAGATCCCAAAAGAAGTAAAATACATCAACACTGTTATGTAGGAAATGACTCTGTGAAAGTTCAAACAGAAAAAGCATGAGGTATCCCAGAAAGACACACTCTGAAGACCAAGAAGATTCTTTCTAGAGATCATGTGGGGGGAGAATACAAGTTTGCTCTTGCAGAACTGTTTGCTACCCAAACCAAAGGAAGATGCTCTGAACTAACTAATATAGTCAAGCCTTCAGAGAGAGAACTGTTTAAAAGCCACTGCAGTAATATATTTGTAAACTTCTAGTACATCAGAAAATGCATTTCTTTTGGATTTACTTTCTAATGTAAGCTAGTGTTTCAGCAGTAGGCCTGGAAGCAGCCCTGAAGCAAGAAAAAAGGAGAGATACTATCTTGCTTTCAGAGGAAGCTAAATAAGTGTAGTAGGAAAGGATGTCTGACAATAGGGGCAAGTGGAGCTTGAAGTACTGTAAAAGACACTTCATTCTCCAAACCAATTATAATCTGCAGTTATGAGAGAGTGAGGGATCAAACATGACATGCAGGTCTATTCTGTGCCACAAACACGTCACATCATCATTCAGCATAAGCCAAGGTGTCAAAGATGCACCAGAAGATAATGTCTGTCTCTATGTCTCATTTCTTATGTATAATCATGCAGGCTAGAAGGACTGAGATAGAATAGGAAAGGATGGTATCGTGTGAAATGGATGAAAAAAAAACCCAAAATCTATGCAGATGGCTTATTTAATTATCAGTTTTCCCAAAAGGACATAAAAAGTGAGCAGTTTAAGCTAAATTAAATTCTTTCTGGGGCAAAAAAAAAAGTTATCCAACAGCTTGGGATATTGACAGCATAAAAGACAGGCTACTTAAGGAGAAATCTTGAGAACTGGGTAGTGACTTTTGAGCAGTTGGCAGCAGATGAGATCCTGCTTCTCTGGGAGATCAGATAAATGTAAGAGCCTTGAGTAAAGTGACTCTGGATGTACAGAAGCTAAAGAATTATACATTCTTTCCATGTTTTCTTTACCCTCTTTTTGCTGGGCCACAAACCCTTCAATCTGCTATCATACAAACCAAATCTTCATCATCAGTGTAAAATCAGTATGGTAGATCAGGAACAGTGTTTCCAATATAAAATAATGGGCGCTTTCTTTTTTATTCTTTTTGGTGTCTCTTTTAACTGCTCTATAAAAGGTTCTTTATCATGTGCGCTGGTTTTCAAAACTTTAGAATGTCTACAGCTATCTTTTCCTTACCGTAGAGGTTTGACCACATGCTCAGTAGGAAATACATTTTAGAGAAAATTATGTTATGTAATGCATGTGAATTTTTTTACAGAGTCCAACTACTTCTTGACTGTTCCCTAGCATATATAGCAATATGCTATTTGTTTGCTTGCCCTGAAGCATGAAGGTAGTTACCATGAATCATGCTATCCATGTTTATTCTTGATGTACAAGCAGCACCTTCTGTTAACCATGTAAAGGTATCAGAGTAAACCAGGCAATTCAAGGCACAGCAGCTTAACAGATTTAGTTGTAGCATGGTTCTTAATGAACTCTTTATATTCATGTAAATGTCTGTTATCCTTCTAAAGGAACTCTGTCATGGATGAAAGTTAGCTGAACAGTCATTAACTGAGACAAAGCGAAGGGTCACCTTGTACCTTTGGAAGGGAATGCTTGCAGTTACTGTAGCAAGGATATGAAAATCTGATGGAAACAGATTAAAACTTATCTCATGGTATATTAGGGAGAAAGTACTCTTAGAACCAGGCAATGGCCATGAAGACTTTTACATTCTACTTCTGCTTGTTCGATGTATGACAACCGCTTCAGCTTACTACCTGCAAAAATCAATATGCGACAACATATCTGATGTCAAATGGGAGAGTCATGAGAATGAGTGCTTCAATTAATCCTTCCGTAAAAGCTGCTATGGCAGCTCACAACAGTATTACTGAACTACCAAGCAGCTATAAACCAATGCAGTTTGAAGAGCTGAGCAGATGAGGACTGAATACTCGGGGGGAATAACAGAAATGCAGATTTCAAGGCTATGCAAGTCTCCATTCATTAACAAAGTATTCCACAATAGTTTAATATATTTTAAGATGCCACTACAACTAGACATGCTGCTTGAGTTATTAATTATGGTGTTCACAAAATTTACAATAGTTCTGCTATCTTTCAACTTTTTACTTGAGGACTGGATGTACTCAGACATACAGATCAGCCTGTTGTCTTGGCAGACAGCCTACAGCCATGACAAATTCTCAGCTAATGCACCAAAGGGGTAGACCTCCTTCATAGCCTGTATACTTTTTTTTTTTTTCCCCCCAATCTTTACTCTTATTTAAGCGCTGAGACTGGAATAGAAAAATTCTACCCTGATTGTGGTTAGCAGGATTTGAAATTGCTGTGTTCGTCATTCTGGAAATAAAGTTTAATGTGCCTGAGGGCAGCCAAGTCCCTCCAATACTGCCAGGGTGAGACTGATGGAACAGAGCTCTGGTGGAGTCCAGACTTTCTTGCCAGGAAGAGCTCACACCATTGAGGGTGTTCCTCTCTCTGCTCACATTACCAGTTTCCTTCAGCAAAAAACCTGCCCTACTGACAGCAGAAGCTATAAACTAGCATCTTCTGGTAAACATTTCTGGCTCTGAAGCCACAGAATGGTAGCTCTTACTAAACAAAGAAAATAATCTACAAGACAACAGTTTAAAAGGAAAGGAGACAAGGAGAATGATTCACAGGTTGCTGCAGCATTAAGCATTTCAAGGCTGTGATTCTCAGGAAAAGTATTAGAATAAAGCATTATTTTACTAGGTAGAAAAATTTTTCTTCAGCTGAGATATTGATGCCTCTATTTCTGCAATGATGGATGAAACTATTGGTCATTATGAAAAAAACTATATATAAACAGTCTCTAGCAACACAATAAAGACCTTGCAACAAAGAACACTCTAGACATGGGTATGTACGGGTAAGCACTTGTGATGTGGGAAAGCCTCTTTCAGACTGATTCAGAATGGAGACTGCTTTTTCCATAGTTTGCCCTAAGGAATGGGCTATTGGCTATACCTGGGAATGGGTGCTTCCTTCCACTGAGAGAGATGCGACATTTTAGGAAATTGTCCCCCTAACACATGGATATTAGTCAAAGAATCCATCTAGCACATAACTTCCCTTGATTAAAACCCAGAAAGTTCAAATTACAGTTTCCCAGGGACTGTGCAAGCACTGAACGGAGGAAGACGTTGCATGCTGGATACATCAAAGCTAAGCAGTAATGCTGTAAACTGGTGCAATGCAATTAATGCCCTGAGACATTGCCACTGGAAACCATCACATTCACTCCCCTCCAGATTAACAGTATTTCAGGTGTTGGGACTTCACAAGGTAAGTTCTGGACCTTTCAGAGCAGGTATTCTGGTGATGGTGTTTGCTACCTTTGGCTTTCCCAGGGTGTACCACTTTGTAGAAGCACCAATCCCGTTACAGGGTGGTAGAAACAGGTTGGAGTTGGAATAGATTGGTTCTATTTTACTAAGGCCTATGTTCTGTTTTCTCTGCCTCATCTGCACAGTCCCTACCATGTTCCTCCCAGTACAGCAACAGGAACTCCAGGAGCTGAAATTTGCAAAATGTTGTCTTTGTGTGGTATTAGCACTCTGCAGATCTTGGCATGCTACACACAATGTGACAAATATCCTTTCCTCCCCATTCTGCCAATTATATTCATAAGCAAATATAACAGTTATAAACAAACAGGAACTGTGTATATACAACAAACAACAGACAAAAGTAAATATGAAAATGAAAACAGTATCTGAAGAGATTATTTTAATGATAACTACTAAACAGCATACCAAGGAAAAAGTCCCCATTCTTGGGTAAATTATTTTGGATGGGCAAATATCACCTTTTTCTGAGTGAAATAAACTGCTGATTGGGATGGGAATGTAAGGTTTCTAGCTTATTTTAACTAAATAGATGTTCCCCTATGGAAAGAAAGCATCTTAGATTTTCATATGAGACCAAACATAAGAAAAGAGAGAGGAAAATGCCCAGAGTGCATACTAATCCAACATGATTTTGTAAAATGTTCAAACTTGTAACTGATTTTTTGTTTTCTTCTGGGAAAAGGCTGTTAAATGAGGCAAATACTATACAGACACATTTCTGCTCTTTAAACCTGCATGTCTATTAGCATTCCTTACAGCAGCAGAACCGAAATCGGATGCAGTATGTTTCACACCTGTAGCTAGGAGACTTTTCTGATTTTGATAGCTGGACAGGCAAGGTCCTTACATACTTAATTTGCAATGTTGGGGTTTTTTCCCTTCTACAAGAAAGCGCGCGTCTTCCAGAAGCTCCTTTTCCTTTCCGCACCTTTTACTCGACGCCACCAGCCTGCAAAGTGTTTAACTCTTTAAATCATTTAACGTGGAAGAAAAAAAAAAAAAAAATGCAGATCTGTCCCTCCGCTGCTACCGCTCAAGAAACTCCTGCGTCTCTGAAGACAGCTGTTACCTATGCAAAGGGCAAACCAGCGCAAGCAGAACCCCGAACCCCCAATCTGCAGCGGGCATTCTGACCAAGGCGCTCCCGGGATGCCAATCCAGGCACGCAAACGTTATCTCAGCGCCGCCAACAACTTTTCCGAGCAACCGCGGGGTGCGCGGCTATTTTGCAGTGTTCGCCGTCTCTCGGGGGGCAGCCGCTCCCCACCCCACCCTGCTCCAGCGAACCTCCCGCCGCAGCCGGTTGCAGCCTGTCCCCGCGGGTTCCGTGCTGCCACCGGGGACGCGCTGGCCGCGGGTGGGGCACCGGCTGCTCCCGCACCCACGGGGCGGCACCGAGGTCCGCGGCGCGCCCGGCAGGCGGCGCTATAGCGCGGGGGGGGGGGGTGTGGGAAGTGTGGCGAGGGGCGCTCCCCGGTGCGGCGGGGAAGCGGCGGCAGCGCCCTCCGGCCCGGCCCGCCGGTCACTCACCATGTTGACTTCCGAGACCACGTCGATGCTGGCGATCTCTATCCGCATGCCCACATCCACGGGCGGACCTGAGGGGGGGGGGGGGGAGCGGGAGGCGGCGTTAGCCGGCACGGGGGCGCCCAGGGGTGGTGGGGCGCGGGTCGGGGGAGCGAGCGCGGGCGCCTCACCTCCGAAGTCGGGCCGGAGGCGGATGTCGTAGCCCTGGAGCAGCCCGTCCACCGTCTCCTTCACGTAGGACATGTTGCTGGGCCCGTCGGCGCTGCGGGAAGGCGCAGAGGCGCGTTAGGGAGGCTGCCGGGCGTTCCCCCCCCCAACCCTCTCGCCCTCCCTCCGCGGCCCGGCGGCGCTCACCTGCGCGCCGCGCACGCCACGGCCAGCACCAGCGGCAGCGACAGAGCCCGCGGGCCGTCCCGCCTGGCAGCCGCCACCGCCGGTCCCCCCATCCCCGGCCCCGGCCGCGCCGCCGCCGCCTCACGGGGGAAGAGCCGCGGACTGCAACTTGGTGCGGAGCGGAGCAACAATTCCCGACCGCACGACGCATGCGCGGAGCGGGACGCCGCGGCCCCCGGGGCGCACCTCTGCCCGCCGCGGCCCGAGTGCGCCCCCCACCCCCCGCGCCGCCACCTGCCCCGGGACGGGACGGACGGATCGGTTCGGAACGACCGGGACCGGATCGGACCCCGCCCCGCCCCACCCCGCCGCGGAGGGGCTGAGGGCGACGGCGCGGCAACAGGTGCCGTCGGCGGGGCGGCTCTGGCCCGAGAGCCCCCGGGCTGCCGTGAGGGGCCGCCGCGGCCGGACGCAGCCCGGCCCCGCTGGGGCGCGAAGGGCTCGTCAAGGGGAAAACGCCGAATTGTTGAGGGCGTTTCTCTGTGGGAATTCACACTGACAGGCTCTGGTGCTAACGAGGGCGCAAAGGGGATCTGGCAAATTCGAACGGAACGGCCCGTTGTGGTGCAGATCGCGCTTTGCCCAGCTGCGCGAAGGCTGAACGGCGCGTCCAGCCGCCGGCGGGCTGCTGCTCCCTCAGCGGGTTTGGCGCCGGGGCTGCCCGCAGGAGCCACCTGCTGCGGCACACGCAGGAGGTCGCAACAGATTTTTAGTTGCTGGTTTTGTCGACCAAAGTAATTGATGTTGCGTCTAGAACGGGATTTTTTTTCTTTTTTATTTTTTTTTTTTTTTTAAGGCACTATGAATTGATGCTCTTAACGTAGCCTGACCTCTTATGAGCAATATTACACACTGTGACTAGTCGGAGCCCTGTGAACAATTTATGACTTTGCCAGCACTGTTCTGTTTCCCTGCACAGTAGCTCAGCGGAGATAACATTTATCCCTTTCAAAGTCAACCCACCTCATCTGTGCGCTATGCAACGCTGCGTGCGGTGACCTTGGGATGTGTAGTTGGATGTTTCTGAGGCTCCTACAGTGTCGTGCAGACTTACATCTGAGAAATGGCACTTCTGGTGATTCTTTTGGGGTTGAAATATGCCACGATATTGAAAAAAAAGATGCATGAATATTGAAATAGATAGTTTGTGACACAAATTCTAGCAATAATTTTGAACATTTTAACAATGCATATTTCTATGCAAATTTGTCACTCTTGGAGAAGCAGCACAACACACTTTGTGAGATAATACCATGGGAGTCTTTCACCCTCACAGCTGCTTTCTGTAACTACAGTATGAGTTTATGAAAATAATTATTTTATTGATGGTTTGTAACAATATAATAAATATTCTCAGTTGGCTTTGAGGACTTTTGCACTGAACATATCTTTCTTTTCCTCCTATTTCAGTCCTTAGTTGCTGAAAAATGTGATCAGCTCAGCTCGATGGTACTTCAGCATTGCTGTTTGGAAAGAGTTTTTAAAATTTACTAATCCTGATTCGTACATTTTCATATTGTTCAATTATAATTGGCGCGGCTTGGGTGTAGCACTTTTTTTAAAAAATTCCTGTCCATAGAAATCTACCAAAAAAAAAAGTCTACTATCATTTTATTCAGTTGCATCACACATAGCCACAATAAAGTTACCTGGTTCTTCTGAGGCACCAAATTAGTGTTTTCCATAGGACTATACAGTCCCTTTTACTTCTTGACGGTGTGCAGCATTATATCCTGCAGATAATTTTAGCTTTGCCATGAGCCATATGAAGGTCAGATACGCCTGTATGAAAGGGAGACCACTGCTCTCTATGGCTTGCCAAAATGCATCTTAAGGCATAAATGCGGGGGGTTTATTCTCCATAAATTCTTAATTCCCTATACATTTCAGGGCAGCTTTAGTTCGGGCTAGCTGTAGTCCTGAGTAAATGCCCAGTTGTGGTTGAAATGTTTTAGGTGCATCTGGTTGGAAAAGGCATGAGCTAAGCCTGCCCTGAAGGTCTCCTGCCGCTGGGGATGCCTCAGCCCAACGAGTGTACTTTCAGGGAGGGTGAAGATGTTCTCCTCAGCAAGCTGGTTCCTCTGAGAGCTCTCACAGCTGTGTTGTCCTGGCTTCTGCACACCAGCGTTGAGCTTCCTCCACTGAGCATCCCACAAATAAGATTACTGAGCTGTTGACTGTTTCCCCAAAGTGGCACGCTATGGAAATTCAAATCCGTTTTGTCCAGCTTGATCACTGGGGACATCTGGGCTCTAAACAGTGGTCTTGAAAAAACTGCAAATACCCTGCTGTGTGGAGACAATACTGCAAAGATTCCTCAGTAGCTGGGGCTCTGCAACAGAGAGGTTTATATGGTAATTTTAATAACCACACAGAGGAGAAACTACATGGCATTACACTGCCACAGCAGGGGTGGTGAGCGGGATCCTTTTTTGCCCCATGAGGTGGGTGATGGGAACGTATCTGGGACCTGATAAGGATAAATCATTAACAGCAGGACTTCCACTCTCCCACAACTGAAATCATCAATAGTTCCATCTGAAGTTCAAGAACTTGAAGTTCTGCTTTCTTTGCATAAGATCTGTTTCTAGGAAAATGTAGCATGCTTTTCCAGGCCACCAACGTGGAAGAACCTTGTTGTAATTTTGATTAAAATACTCTTTGCGACATAATTCTTGCCTTTGGCAGCTCTTTAACAACTCCTTTTAGAAAAATCAGGTGATATCCAAAATGAGTGACCATGGCAAAGAGGCTAACTTTCAAAGCCCAGATATTATCACTATTGTTCACAAACATATTCTAAAAGTTTTACAGGTGGTGAGACAACTGTTGGTCTGATTTACAAATGTGGTTCAAACTGCAGCTTCTGCAGTCAATAAATTTGATTCAAAATACATCAGTGTGTCTTTCCATCCACTCCAGTGAGGTTTTCTCACTCTCTGATGCCGAGTGAAACCTGATGGGTACCCAGCGTGGCTTGTAGGCATCCTGGAATTTGCTGAGAATTTTCCCAGAATTTAGGCACATAAATAGATATGCTGCTTTGCACTTATGGTAATCAGGCTGCTTAGTGCCTAAAAACCTAGGAGGTTAATCTGGAGGCTTTTGCTGCTAGTTTGCAATATTTTTAAAGAAAAGCAGACCTCTGTGGTGGCTTCAATTTCTGCTCTTATGGTCTTATGCTTATTTTCTCATATTTGTTGTTCAATAATCTATTTTCTTTAAACCATTGCTAATGATAATGCCACATGCATCTTCCACTCATTTCTGTGCTGGGTTTAGTATTGATAGGGTCTATGAGATAGACAGATAGACATCTTGTAAATAAGGTTTTAAAAAAATATTTTTTGGGCTGTGTTAGTGAAGGCAGACCTTTTGAGTGGGGAATAGTTTCATCTTGATTAAGCATATATAAACACTAATAAATTGCAACATTTGAAAGACACTAGTTCTAACATAGTAGCCATGACTTTTTTTTTTTTTTTTTCATGTTCTGAGGCATATTGAATGCTTACTAGAAGCAAGACAAATAATGTAGTTGCAAAGCACAATTCATAAAACCATCCTGGGCCAGTTGCATGTTCATTTTTCATCGTCATTATGCATAAACTTTCAGGAGGGAACATTTTTTCTTACACAAATAAATGTTTCCAGTTTATTAAAGATCTTTTTTGCAATGCTCATTTTCCTTTGGAAACAGAAAGCGCACACAGTACAAAGATAACGTCCTGCTTAGACAATGTTGGCTAATTAAAAATCCAAGATCACTAAACAAAAGGTAAATTTTTCCTGTTTCCCACTGGATAAGATCTGTAGGAAGGAAGACCACAACTTTTAATGAAACAAGGGGAAAAAAAAAATTGCAGAAGTGTTGACTATATAATCTCTCTAGTGATACTTTGTGCCTTCTTAAATGTAGAATGAGGGAAGGTATGTCTTTGTGATTCTGCTTGAAACAGAGAAGGAGAGCTGTGTGCCTCACCCTGTGCACTTTGATGACTGAAAATGCTAATATTGTAATGTAATATTGACTGGTTTGAGTAATTGGAAATAGGGACTTGCAGACCCAGGATACTCATAATCTTAAGTGTCCAACTGGACTTTCAGTTTTCCAGTCAGTGGGGAGAACTGTTGTGGGACTAGCTACACCAGCCACAGGCCAGAAGCAGGACTGGTGATAAGTATGAAAGCAGCATCATTAATTAGTAAAATTGCATTACAGTGTAAAAGCATGCACAGAAGACAGAATGGGAAACCGAGCTCAAGATCTTTGGATTATTCATTGTAAGACATTTGTGCCAAACTGGTTGCTTGGCTGTGTGGCTTTTCATATTGCATACACCCCAGCTAAAAGAAAAATGAGAATTAGGATGGGTATACGTTTTTTCTTACTTGGCGCTGAGCAGGTGACATTTTGCAGTAAGTATACTGATAAGATATATTTAAAATTTTAGATCAAATTTTCAAATTTCTAAAAATTAAGCTAAATGGTTGCATTTAAAAACTATGAAATGAAACCTAGGAACTGTGAAATGACTACCTTTGCAGGTAATAAACAAATCCTATTAATATTTATACTTAGAGAAAAGGGACAGGTAACAAAGTACATCACATATTTCATCTGCTTAGTGATAATGCTATTGTCATTGTATACTTACAGCAATCCCTTGAGTCAAACACAGCTTGTGAGCAGCCTTCTCAGATGGCAGAAAACAGCAAGCTGGAGATACTTCTAGTGTGCTTTGGGGCTTTCAGTGTAGTGGGAAAGCTGCGCAAGCAATTGAGAAGAGCTGCGGAGTGGCACACTGAAGTTGTGCTTTATCTTGGGATCTGTAGACAGCGTGATGCTGCCCTGCACTGAGGAGAGCACCTCACCCTCCCAGTCATTTCTCTTTCCTTCAGGTCTCTCAGTAAGCCTCCACACCCTCGCCCTTCCCTCAGGAAATAAAGGTAGAACTCAAAACTCATGCCCTCTTTGTGCCCCATTTTTATCCCTCTTTTTATATGCTGTAAAGGTCAATGAAGATCTTCTTAGTGCAGGTTCTACTTTATTTTAAGAGCCTGTAGAACACTTAGGACAGTGCTTCGGAAGCATTATTAGTAAATATCAAAACTGTTAATTGAACTTATTCACCTTTAATAAT